GTCAGCAGAATTTTTTTTTTTTTAGACAGAGAAAGCACTAGTAGGAGTAGGGGGAGGGGGGATAGAATCGCAAGCAGGTTCCACTCTCAACTTGGAGCCTGATGCGGGGCTGGATCCCATGATCCTGAAATGAGCTGAAATCAAGAATTGGATGCTCATTGAGGAGGGCACTTGTTGGGATGAGCGCTGGTGTTGTATGTAAGCCAATTTGACAATAAATTATATTAAAAAAATAAAAATAAAAAAAGAATTGGATGCTCAACTGACTGAGCACCTAGGCGCCCCCAGGTCAGCAGGACATTTAATGCCAAGCCAGAGGTTACCAAGAGAAATACTCAAGCACTGGATCCTTTTGCATCAGGTGTTTAGTAAATTACATGGACCACACAGTGATGTTCCGTTTGTATTCCACTAGCTCCTTTCTTTCCCTCTGATAATGCAGTAAAATCTCACTTATTCATGTCTATAACTAAATTTGTGTGATTGTTTAATATGTGTTTCTTCCTCTGGCCTGTGAGTTCCATGAGAGTAGGACTGGATCTATCTTGTTCCTTGTGTCCTTGGTATGTAGTACAGGGCCTGGCCTGTGTCCATCCAACAACACATGGTTTTTATTTGTGTGTTCTAAGTAATGTACTAAGTACTCTGCACATGTGTCATTGCATATCAAAGACACTTAAATAACTGACAAGTAATTGTTCAGGGTGAATTAGTGAAAACCTTGAATTAAAGATGACTTCCTATGGAATATATTTTTTCATACTTTTCAAGGAATTGAAACAAATTTGAGGTGAATAAAGCATTGCTTTGATAGGTTCCTTTCAGGACCTGTTGAATTAATAGATAAGTATTATTTTCCTGTAAGACTTAAAATGAGTTGTCAATATCCATTCATCTAATGTATTTACTGAGTATGTCCTAGGTTTCAAGGAATATAGCATGACAAAACAGACAAAACTCCCTCCCCTCATAGACCTTAGGTATTAGGAGACACAAAATATATTAAAGGCCAATGCATATAAACTGGAGGAATGGGGCAGTGGGAGGAGGGGTTGCCTCACTGCTGACAGGCTACAGACATTAGAATTCAGGGGTGAGGAGTGCCTGGGTGGCTCAGTCAAATAAGCATCTGACTTCACCTCAGGTCATGATTTTGCAGTTCGTGAGTTCGAGCCCTGCTTCAGGCTCACTGCTGTCAGCACAGAGATCCTCTCTGTCCCTCTCTCTGCTCCTCCCCCACTTGCGCTGTCTCTCTCAAAATAAACTTTAAAAAAATAATAATGCTAGAGGTGGCCTGAGGGTCTGGGCTTCTTGTGGTGTAGACATCTTCACAGGGTCATACGAAGTCCTGAGGTCCCCAACCTATGCTTGTGGATGATGGTGTAAGTCTTGAACCCATGAGCCTGTTGTGTAGAAACTGTGTTTCATAAATATTGGGAATGAGTTTTTTCTTTTGAGGACTTTGGCTTTATAAGAAGGATAGAATAGAACCAAGCATCATTAAGAGCCCCTCCACTCACTGTCCTCTAGTTAATACACAATTTAAAATATTTAGTGTCATCATTAGGGGGAAAAGAGCCTTTCTGCTTGGTGATTCAGTGATTCTATGTAGATTCTACCCTGGTTACCTTCTTACAGCTACTAAAATAAGGCCTTGTACATGACACTAGGCAGAATTGATTCATGGTTAAGAACAAGGACTTGAAAGTCAGCGAGATCTGAGTGCAAAGTGCAGCTGTACCTCAGTCTAGCTGTATTGTCCCCTGGTGACACAGCCTCTCTCTGCCTTAATTGTTCACATCTGTAAAATAAAGAATTATTGTTTCTATGTCAGAGAACTAGTGTAAGGATTAAATGAGATAAAGCATGTAAAGCACAGGGCCTGGAACATAGTACGCTCCCTGTCAGCAGAAATTATCAGTACTATTCAGTGTTGCTGCTGAATGAATGAAAGCAAATCATCAACTTGGTATTAAGACTTGGATATGCGGGGCACCTGGGTGGCTCAGTCAGTTAAGCATCCGACTTCAGCCCAGGTCATGATCTCACAGTCTGTGAGTTTAAGCCCTGCGTCGGGTTCTGTGCTGACAGCTCAGAGCGTGGAGCCTGCTTCGGGTTCTGCGTCTTCCTCTCTCTCTGCCCCTCCCCTGCTCATGCTCTGTCTCTCTGTCTCAAAAATAAATAAAAACATTTAAAAAAATTGAGACTTGGATATGCATACACATGGTATAAGGTGCCAAGTGCTATGCTGGCCAGTACATTACCTATAGCCTGCCCTCTGTGTCGTACATAAGAATGGGTAGTGGGCTGATGAAAGAATTGTCGTCTTTCATCTCCCCTCCATCTTCTGGGGCTGTCATTTTCGGGCCTTACAAGGTTGCTACAGTGGCATCCCAGTAGGCCACATGTGTGGAGAACAGATTGCTAGGTATAACCTTGTAAACATTCTTTATGTCATTTAAATAGCCCACAAGTTCTGTAGTCCTCAGTCCCACAGTCTCAGTCTCAAATAAAATATGATTGGCTGATGGAGAAGCAGGGCATGCTAATGAGGATAAAAATAGCTCCTGACATTTATTGAGAACCTACAATGTGTCAATCATATGTTCCGAGCAATATGCATCCCCCTTCTGCAGCTGGGAAAACTGAATCTCGGCGTAGTAAATAAAATGTGAACAGCTGGTAAGTGACAGAGGCAGAAATTGATGGACTCCAGAGTAGGTCTGCTTATCCCTTCCCATTGACTGCAGGTGCATCAGGTGGAGATGACCAAGCCTCGGGGCTCCTGCTTGTCTATTGAGATGTTGGCATGGAGCTTGCCTGGCGTTTCTAAGTGCCCAGTCCTAATGAGATTCCCTTGAAGGGCAACTAATGTGAAAATCTAGTTTTCAAGGCCAGGGGCCTTCATTAATGTTTGATCAAAATCCAAGAGGTTTTTCTGTTTCACTGGGCTTAATTCTCAAGTTCAGTTCTGATTGATGAGGGTTTTTTGTTGTTCTCTTACATGGTTAGGTGAAAATTACGATTTTGGTTTGGCTGTTCCAACAAGGTTTGAAAAAGAACTCATTGTAGTCGTAGGTTTTCTACATAGAATTGGATACTGACTCTGTGTAGAGCAAGAAAGAGAAATCTCTGGAGGATATGTTAGCGACGTAACCTGCAGGCTGGTGTTTGGTTCAGCCTAAGATTGTGATACAAACACTTAAGTGAAACCATACTCAGTTGCCATTATTTTAGGTTAAAAATAAGTATGGGCAAATGTCTGTAACTGTGCATCATACATGCTGAGCACGCAGATGGCAAAGAATTCATTCATTTATCTAACTTTGGTTCTAATCAAGCAACACATGTTTATTGAACATTTGTGCCCAAGTCTTTAAGTACAAAGAAAAACCAAAAAGAAGCTCGCACTGCAATTGCAGTAAGACAAACATGCATAGTGTTAAATAGCAATGTGAGAGTACCAGAGGTCTTGTTAAATAAGTGGGCCAGGGGCGCCTGGGTGGCGCAGTCGGTTAAGCGTCTGACTTCAGCCAGGTCACGATCTCGCGGTCCGTGAGTTCGAGCCCCGCATCGCGCTCTGGGCTGATGGCTCAGAACCTGGAGCCTGTTTCCGATTCTGTGTCTCCCTCTCTCTCTGCCCCTCCCCCGTTCGTGCTCTCTGTCTCTCTCTGTCCCAAAAATAAATAAACGTTGAAAAAAAATTTTTTTTTAAAAAAAATAAATAAATAAATAAGTGGGCCAGACCAAATGTGGGGGGCTTCTGTGAAAAAAAAAATCATTTAAGGCAAAGATGGTATGCGAAGGATGAGGCGTAAGAGCCCAGAGGGATTTCAGTCTGTGAAGACAGAACAATCAGGCCTAGAAATGGGAACACTCAAAATATACCTAAGCTATGTTCTATATATTCCATTTGAACCAGAGAAGTTCAAAATCAAGATCGACATGTTACAACAACTTTTGATGGGCTCTGTTGTCCAACTGAGGGGCTGTGCCTTTATTCGTGTAAGTGGAAATCAGCTGAAGCTACTGAGGTAAGAAGTGCCTGGATAGCAGAGCAAAGGGACAATATACACAAAAGACAAGACTGAGGCTCAGCAAAGCAACACTATTAAAAACCATGACCAAAGAGATAGGAAAATAAATGTCCACACAAAAGCTTATGCATGAATATTCATAGCAGCATTATGTGTAATAGCCAAAAAGTAGACACCCAAGTGTTTATCAACTGATAAATGGATAGACCAAATCTGGTATATCCATACAATGAGTTATTATTCACCCATCAAAAGGAATGAAGTGCTGACATCCACTAGAGCATAGATGAACCTTGGAAACAGTTTACTAAGGGAGAAAGTAGTCACAGGAAAACCCTACATTGTATAATTCCATTTATGGGAAATTTCCAGATTAGGTAATTTCATACAACCATAAAACAGATTAGTCATTTCCTAGGGCTGCAGGAGTAGGGAAGCAGAAGTAATTGCAAATGGGTATGGAATTTTTGAGGGTTAGTTGATGAAAAGTTTGAAATTTAGATTGTTGCAATGCTTATACAAGTATGTGATTATACTGACAAAAACAATGGACTATAAACTTCAAATGAGGAAATTGTACAGTATGTAATTTTATATCTAAAAAAAACCCATAAACACATTTTTAGGCATCTCAGATGACTCCAAGTTTTGATATGTGAGGTGACCCACAAAGACCAGGGGAGTTGTGTAACAGAGGTAGATCCATAGACCTGGAGCTTGGAAATGCTCAGGGCTAGATCCATCAATGTACAGGCCCATGTGAGTCCTTCCATGAAAAGGAAAATACAGAAACCAATAACCACTTTCTGCTTCCAGGGAGATGACGGTTCTCTATTAGTACCTTACTCACATTCTGAAGATTCTACTCCAAGTTAGACTGTTGTCTTTCTAGCTGGCCCATACATGGTAGAGTTAGTTGAAAAGGATGTGCTCATTTTGTCTTGTTTTGCTTCTGCCGTGCAGTTTTTGAAGAGCCCGAAGATCCAAGCAACAGGTCGTTTTTCTCTGAAATTATCTCTTCGATTTCGGATGTGAAGTTCAGCCACAGTGGGAGGTATATCATGACCAGAGACTATCTGACCGTTAAAGTCTGGGATCTCAACATGGAAAACCGCCCCATTGAAACTTACCAGGTACGGACCACCACCCACCCATAGTTCCATAAGGCACTTCCTTTGTGGACCTCCAAGACAGCTTCTGCCTACAAAGGCTTACAGTACACAAGAGTAAAAGACAGTACATCATCATAAATTCCATAAAATGGTCCAGCCTGCAATTGCTATAGGATTTAGACAAGGGTACAGAAGGAGGAGCTTGGATTCAATTTAACCCATATCTACTGACCATTTAAATGTGGGATGGATACTGCAGATACAGAGGTGAACGAGACAGACACGGTCCTGGTCTCTTTGAGCTGTGTGGTGTGTGATCGGGAAGCCAGATGATGAACAGGGAACTGAGTAGGCGGTGATGCAAGAGATGGTACTGTGTGCATGGGAGCACACACAAGGAGGGTCAGTCTGGCAAAAAGAAACCCTAAGGCTGAGTCTTGAATGACAGGAGCTAGCCAGAAAAATCATATTGTTAGAAGGATAGTATGTTCATAGCTGGTGTGTTCAGAAAGTTCTTCTGCCCATGTTCTGTATTCAAGATATCAAGAAGTCTAGAAATCTAGGCCCTGGTAAAGAACATTAGGTTATTTTGTCTTCAGGCTGAGTACAATGGAAAACCATTAAAAGGTTTTGGAGGAAATGATGACAGTTGGGGCTCTGGAATTGGCAGCATGCGGATAGAGGGAGAGGCAGGAGGAGAGTCTGTGAGTTTCGCTTGCTGATTCAGTATGAAGAGAAGAGCAATCAAGAAGTGTACACGTTTTTGGCTTAAGCATTGGCTAAATGGTTGGTAGGTTTATGGACCAAGGGAACAAAGGAGAAGGCAGTGTGCAGTGTTTAGAATGGCTTTTTCTTAGAAGAGGAAGACCAGGTTTTGAGGTAGAAAGGATTTGAGGAAGTTCATTTCAGGTAAGAGCACAATGGAAGCAAAGATCAAGAGGCAGGAATAAACTGGTCTTTTTAGAGATATTTTGGGTTAGATTAAAAGAAGTACAAAAATTCTAGACAGGGATTTAACTTACCTATTTTTCTTGAAACATAATTCACATACCCTAATATCCATCCTTTCGAAGTCTATGTGAGTGTATTCACAAAGTTGTGGAACCCTCACCACTATTCCATTCCAGAACATTTTCATCATTGACCAGCACATTCTGGCTATGCTAGGGAGGAGAGCCTATAGAGGGACATAGTAGCAAACACAACAGTAAAAAAGTTATTGCAAATTCTGGCAAAGGCTGAGAGTAGCTCAGATGAGCTTGTGATGAATGGAAGTGGCCAAATTCTTGTAAAATCTATAGGAGTTGACAACAAATTGGATATGTGATGAAAGAGGAAACGAGGGGGCGCCTGGGTGGCGCAGTCGGTTAAGCGTCCGACTTCAGCCAGGTCACGATCTCACGGTCCGTGAGTTCGAGCCCCGCGTCGTGCTCTGGGCTGATGGCTCAGAGCCTGGAGCCTGTTTCCGATTCTGTGTCTCCCTCTCTCTCTGCCCCTCCCCCGTTCATGCTCTGTCTCTGTCTGTCCCATAAATAAATAAAAAAAAAAAAAAAAAAAAAAAAAAAAAACGTTGAAAGAGGAAACGAGGTTTTTTTTATCCTGCCCAATTAGGAAAATGGCAGTGCCATTTTATGCAGATGAGGAAATCGAGAATTTTGTTTGGGACATTTTGGACCAAATAAACATCCAGAAACTGCAAGTAGGCAGCTCAGTTGGAGTTTGGGTATATCTTAGCTTAAAGAAAAGAAGAGGTCTATTTCAAGGAGAAGGAAACACCAACTACTAAATGCTGTTGCTAAATCAAATAGAAATGGGTAGAAAATAGGCCAATTGATCTAAGTGGAGGTGAGTGGTAGTAATGAAGGTCTGATTTGCGTGGGTTTCAAGAGAGACTATAAATGGAAGATGTGAGTGCAATGAGTACAGATAACTCTTCCAAGAAATTTTAGTTTGAAGGGCAACAGAGAAATGGAGTGGTATCTGGAATGGGATATAGGCATAAGGAAAGTGTATCACAGTATACTTTATGCTGATGGGAATAAGCCAGTAGAGAAAGAATAATTCAAGCAGCTAAGTGCTTGAGGGAAGCAAGATGGAACAGGTCCACTGTAGAATTGGTCTTAGATGAGAAGATGGACAATCCATCCATCAAAGTCAGGAGGTTTGTAAATTTTGTGATGGGAACAATAGATGCTTTCTTCTTATTGCTTCTATTTTCTCAAAAGAAGGAAGGTTCATTAGTTGAGTGAGAAGTATAAAACACCTAAGACTGAGTTGAATACAGAAGTGTTGTAGAGTTGCTCAAGGATCCACTTGAGTACAATGGAAGGAGAGAGGAAGTCAAATTTGTTGAAGGTACATACTAAGGGTGTGATTATAATGATGGATGGACCACTAAACCTCAGGTAGTAAGGAGGGAAATACTGGGTGAAGGAAAGTAGACAGGAAAATGGATTTAAAGACTTAATGGAATCAAGATAGTAAAGGGAGTGAACTAAAAAGGTAGGAGGTAGCAATAAAGTAGTACTTGTTAAACAGGTACACTTAACAGTCATGGCAAGTCTCATAACGACCAAGGAGGCAAAGGAAAAAAACCACTGAAAATGATGAGGCCAAGTAACTGAGAGACCAGAAGAATGATGGCAGGGGATCTGGGTGTTACAATTGCCTCGAGGAATGTGGCAGAGGGACTCAGAACTGTTGCTGACTCTAACAAGGTAGACAGCAGGGAGTCTTCAGGGAAAGCAGGGAGCTCTTCAGAAGAGGTAAGGAATCATGGTCTGGAGCAGCAAGGAGCCCACCTACTCCACCTTGACACATATGAGTGAAAGTCCTGCTACTACTGTGGCCACAGGAGAAGCCAACCTTTCAGAAGAAATTCAGAGAGAAGATTGAGGACCCCCCAGGACTTTGACCAACTGTGAGTAACACAAGGTCCTATGAGAAGGTTTGGGGGCCAGAAATGAAGACAACATATGTAATTGAGATAGTTTGTGGTTGAAATAACCTGCCCTATATATTTGGAGTCTTACTGTCCCCTAGATCCTTCCAGACTTCAGGGCCCCGCTTCACAGCACTTACCTTCAGGTTCTCACCTTCAGCCCAGGGCTAGAGCCAACTGGAACGTCATCTTCCAACTACACAGACAAACATCTAGTGTTACGAACTCCATACCAAACAGAGGGCAATGTCGAGTAGAACCTGAATGTGGGTGGTGTTGACAGGGGTGTAGCCTGCTGGCAAGCCTGGATTAGAGAAAACTGGATTTAGGCTCTTCAGTGGCAGGAGCAATTAGCACTTTCATTTTAGAGAAAGGCTTTAAGAACAAAGCTAGTTTTAGAACACAGTGAGCTGTGACATGGAATAATAAGCATTTTAAGAGCCTGCTTCTCAAACCAAGTTCAGCTAGTGGTAGATGTGGAAGTGTTCTTTGTCAAAGGCTATGAAATAGGTATCCTAGCACATGTATTGAAATGCAGTGTTACAAAAGTGTATTTCAACTTTACATAGCATATTTCAAAGCAATTTAAATTCATATGCTATATAAAAATGTTAATTTATCAAAGATGGTAAATAAAGTCTGAATTCCTAGAACACTGTTGAAAAAGACTGTGAGGGCTGGCCCATAGGGAAATAATTCCATCATCAGTTACTAATACCTTCCCTGGGGAGTGAAGTAAGTAATGTTCCTGCTGTGTATTTTCATACATGCATCAACTGGTCTCAAGCATCTTTCCAGGAATAACAAATTGTAGACTTACCTATAATTAGCTATTTTCAAGTTTTCCTACAGAACAGGGGTTGGCAAACTGTGGCTGGTGGGCCAAATCTAGCCTCCATTTGTTTCAGTACAAGAAGTTTTACTGAAACACAGCCACATCTGATCATGCATATATTGTCCTTGGTTGCTTTCACAGTACAGTGGCAGAGTTGAGTGGTTGTGACAGAGACACAAACCCACAAACCCTAAAATACCTGCTGACTCTTCACAAGGGAAGTTTGTCAACCCCTGAAATCTAAGAACCAACCAATAGAGTTGACTCTTGCTGGGCCTCATGAGCAGTCCATTAACTGTACAACACCAGGCTTCCATGAGTTCATGATTTAAGAACCTCTATGTTGAGAGGTTCAGTTTAGTGTCAAGAAAGCCATACACAATAGGAACATGGACAACAAATATTTAGAACATGAAGAAAACATCAAATTGGGTGAATGTTAAATTGTCTCTTGCTCTGTATATTAGATGTTTCTAATGAATGTTCTTAACCTTCTCTTCTCTGATGGAGGTTGGTCCATCTTGTTTGCCTCAGGTTTTCTTTCCTGTTTTAGCAACACAACATAAAGATAACATACCTTCATATTCCATGTTCTTTTTCTGTAGAGGACTTGAAGCCAAAGCAGTAGGAACAGCCCAAAATTTAGCTGTTGAGGAGGAGAAATTATTAGTTCAGACCAGATTTTCCTTTGGATCCCTCCTGACTTTTGTCTTCCAAGAACTATTTATAGTTTTGGGCAATGTGGTTCCTCCTAATGGATCCACACTTCCAAACCACCCATGTTTTGATATGTTCATAAAGAAGAGTATAGGCTGAACCAAAAAAATTTTTCAGTCATTACAGTGAAATACTTTTCTAACACTAATTACAGTGAAAATAATCATCTATCCCCTTCTGAGAGCTTTACAGTTACCAACCATTGTAGGATTCTGAGAAGTTCTGTATCCTAGAAACTGCTTAACAATGTGTTTTCAAAACCAGTTTCTCTGTTCTCAGAACACTCCGCATCCATGTCTTCTCTGCAAAGTGCTCCATACCACATCAGAGGAATGAGTAGCATGGAGATAAGGCTGAAAATAAGGAGCTATTTGGCTCAAATTTTTCTCCAAAAAGTAGGAAAACTAGAGTATAGGCATGTCTCATTTTATCGCACTTCCCAGATACTGCCTTTAAAAAAATTTGAAGGCTTGTTTTAGCCCCACATTGACCAAGTCTACCAGTGCCATTTTTCCAACACATTTGCTCATTTCACATCTCTGTGTCATGTTTACCATCTCCAAGCTTTATCATATGTTATGATGATTTGTGTTGCATGATCTTTGGCATTACTATCATAATTGTTTTGGGGTGCCACAAACTGTGCCCATGTAAGATGGTGAGCTTAATGAATATATGATGTGTGTGTGTGTGTGTTTGCCTGCCAGCCTTTCCCCATATATCTGCTTCTCTTCTGGCCTCCATATTCCTTGGACACAACAATGTTGAAATTAGGCCAGGCAATAACCCTCCAATGGCTTCAAAGTGTTCATACAAAAGTACGAGTCCCACATCTCTCACTTTCAGTCATAAACTAGAAATTAAGCACAGCAATGAAGCTGTGCAAAAAGCAAGGTAGGCTGAAAGGTAGGCCTCTTACACAAAACAGTTTGCCAGGGTGTGAATGTTGAAGGAAAAGTACTTGAAGGGAATTAAAAGTGCTACTCCAGCAAACACATGAGTGGTCCAGAGAGAAAAATGAAACCAGGCCCAACATCCCCTTAAGCCAAAGTATAATCCAGAGCAAGGCTCTAACTCTCTTCAATTTTGTCAAGGGTGAGAGAGATTTGGAAGGTGCAGAAGAAAAGATTGAGAGGTTGGTTCAGGAGGTTTAAGGAAGGAAGCCAGCTGCAGAACACCAAAGTACATCTGAAGCAGCCAGTGCTGATATAGAAGCGACAGCAAGTTATCCAGAAGATCCAGGCATGATAATTCATGAAGGTGGCTACACCAAGCATCATATTTTCAATGTAGAAGAAACAACCTTCTTTGGAAAAAGATGCCATCAAGGAGTTTTATAGCTAGAGAGGAGAAGTCAGTACCTGGCAACAAAGCGTCAAAGGATAGGCTGACTTTCTTGTTAGGAGCAAATGCAGTGGGTGACTAAGTTGAATCCAGAGCTCATTTACCATTCTGAGAATCCTAGGGCCCTTAAGAAATATGCTATATATACTCACCTGTGCTCTACAAATGGGACAACAAAGCCTGGGTGACAGCACGCTCTCTGTTTACAACGTGGTTTACTGAGTGTTTTTAGCCCATTGTTGAGACCTACTGTTCAGAAAAAAAGATTCCTTTAAAAGTATTATTGCTCATTGACAGTGTACCCTATCTCCCAAAAGCTCTGATGTAGATGGACAGTGAGATTAATGTTGTTCTCATATATAGTAACACAAATTTAGACTCTCACACACAGCTGATAAAGCAGCAGGAGGGTTTGAAAGGGTTGACTCCATCTTTGACTTTCAAGTCTTATTATTGAAGAAATACATTTTATGAGGCTATAGCTGTCCTAGGTAAGTGATTCCTCTGATGGATGCAGGCAAAGTAAATGCAAAGCCTTCTGGAAAGAATCTAACATAGTATATGCCATTCAGAGCATATGTCACTCATGGGAAGAAGCCAACACATCCGCATTCACAGGAGTTTAGAAAAAGTTATTCCAGACCTTAGGGAGGACTTTGAGGGGTTCCAGACCTCAGTGGAGAAAAATCACTGCAGATGTGATAGAAATATCAAGTGGAGCCTGAAGATGGAACTGAGTCACCATAATCTCATGATAAAACTTCAAAGGATGTGGAGTTCAAAGAACATGATTTCTTGAGATGGGATCTACTCCCAGTGAAGATGCTGGGAAGACTGTGGAAATGTCAACAAAGGATTCAGATTATCCCATGAACTTCATTGATAAAACAACAGCAGAATTTGAAAGAATTGACTCCCATTCTGACAGAAGCTCTGCTGTGAGTAAAATGCTATCGAACAGCATCACATGCTACAGAGAAATCATTTGTGAAAGAAATAGTCCATCAATATGGCAAACTTTATTGTCTTATTTTCAGAAATTGCCGCAGCCATGAACACTGAGGCCAGACCTACTACTACTAAAAGAGGACAGCTCTCTGGAAATCTCATGTTTAGCATTTTTTTAGCCATTAAGTATTTATTAAGGTATATACATTGTTTTTTTAGATAAGGAGATTTATTGCACACTTCATAGACTACAGTGTAGTGTAATCATAACCTTCACATGCCCGAGGAAAGCAAAAAGTTTATTTAACTCACTTTGTTATGATATTCACCTTAATGCAGTGGTCTGGAACCCACAATATCTCCGAGGTGTGCCTACACTGGAACAACAAATTTAGCTTCCATTGCCCCCGGCTTCTATTTCCTCTGTACCAAAGGACCTAGAAACAAGTCAATGACAAGTCCAGAAAAGGCATCAAAGACCTCAGTAGACAAAACTATGACCCAGAAGCTAATCCTGTCCCCCACCTGTTTTTGTAAAGAAAGTTCTGTTAGAATACAACCCCACCACTCATTTGTTTATGTATTACCTATGGCTACTTTCACATTACAAGGGCTGAGCTGAGAGTTTGCAGCAAGGTCATATGGCCCACAAAGTGTAAATATTTACTCTCTGGCCCTTTATAGAAGAGGTTTGCCAAACCCTGGTCAGGATCAAGAATCAGTCATATTTTTGCCCTCAGACTCTCTTCTGCTTCTTTGCTCAAAAGACTCCTAACAATCACTAGAGATCTTCAGCCCTACAAACAGAAATGGCCTTCTACATCAGACTTGTACCACGTCCAGGATGCCCAAAACATGGCAGGAGAAGGAATGACAATGAGTTCAGCTACAGCAGAGTTATCAAATGCCACACATGGATTCTCTTGTCACCAAAGCAGTGAAGTAGGTACCCTGACAAGGCCCAAGACTGCAAGCGGCCATTTGCAGAGTTATACTTTCACTGTCCAAATGACTCAGAGAGCTTTTCAATACCCAAAACATCTCATCGAACATGGGATGAAGGACCCAACCGTGCTGAACAGTCTCATATAAAATTCACATCCAACAATTTAATGGGGCCCCAGTGCCTTCCAGCAATGCAGCATTGATTCCTAAGCCTCTCCTGCCCTCCCTCACTCTCAGCTAATAACCTTGCTTCTTAAAATGCCAACGGGAGAAATGCTACATACTTCAGGGATGCAGGCTTTACGTCAGACTTTCCTCGGCAGCTCCACCTGCGTGGACATCTCCAAATGATCATACCCAAAAACACAAATGGCAACTCCATCCTTCCACTTGCTCAAGAGATAGGTCAAGGAGCCATCTTGATTCCCCTTCTCTCATACTTCACAGGTGCATCATCCACGAGTCCTATCAGGTCTCCCTGCAAACATGCTGGGGTCCTATCAGGTCTCCCTGCAAACATGCCGGGAAAGTTCACCATTTCCCACCACTGCTCTCACCAAATCCAAACCATCATCTGTCAGCAGGTTATAACGAACCTCCCTGCATTTGCTGGCTTACATTATCGCAACACAGCTCAGTGATCCTTTCTGTGAGGTCTCCTCACCTTTCTCAGAATAAAAGGCCCATGTGAATGTTCATCTGCCTCCACACTGGAAGAAAACACACAAAGGGTATTGTGTTCACTGCCTAGCCCAAGCTCATAGTAGGAAGGCAGTAGACATGTGTTGAGTTAAAGATGCAATGAATGGTGTCCTCTAATGCCTACTAGCCAATCAGTTTAGAAAAGGGGACTGTACCACCTTCTGGGCCCTTCTATAGGCCACCAGCTAGTTCAGCAAAGTTTTTTAATCCACACTCACCACATAAGCAGCTCATCAATCCATCCTAATATCCCCTGGCTAAAGAGAGCCCAGCCTGGATTCAGACCTGGGCCACTGGAAGAATTAACAGCTCACATCCGAAGAAGAGGTCTTCACAGAAATAATCATTTTTAAAAATAATAACTGACCCTCTGATTTATTTCCCCAACAGGTGCATGACTACCTCCGCAGCAAGTTGTGCTCCCTCTATGAAAATGACTGCATTTTTGATAAATTTGAGTGTGTGTGGAATGGGTCAGACAGGTAAGAAAGGCTGTGTGGCTAGGGAACCTTCCAAAAGGTGGGTCCTGTACTTGCCGAGGCCCTGGGCAACTGATCGTAAGGAGGTCACAGCCAAAGGGGGATGAAAATCAGGCCCCCAGCCCTGGTAGGAGTACACTGTATGGGTCACCAGATTTCCCCTGAGCTCAGACCTGAAATGAAGGGCACCATGTGTTGAGACCCTCGAGTCCTCTTACAGGACTGGCACAGGTGAGTGTGTAACATCCACGAGAAAATCCTGTTTTACATACCAGACACCCCCAGAGCTACATCAACATGGCTGAAATGAGTAACACTAACAATCCACCTCCCAAGTTCCAACCTAAGTAGCTCAGATTATTGCCAAGTGTAATTTCTAGGTCGAAAATTATCCCTGACCGCTTCTGGTGTACCCGGCCAAAGGCCCTGGTCACTGGTTAGCTGAATTCTAGTTGGCCTCATTTATCATATCCCCTCAAAATGATTTATTATTGTTTTAAGGCCTTTTATTTCAACCATACTTCATATTACCTTCTAATGGTTCATTTTTAGTTTGACAAATACAGATGATTCCCCGACTTCCAACATGAAGTATGGGCTACTAGGAGCTGATTTAGTTTGTTGAGGAATGTGGCGCCCACACTAATGTTTGGAAGCACTCCATTTGGTCATGGCAAGGCACTAAGATTCGAGCTTTTTGTAAAAACAAGCTTTTCTGACCATTATTCGGCCTGCTTTGTCAGTGAACCAAAATGTGCCTTCCACGTAGCAGGCCTGGCAAGAGTCACCACATGTCAGAGGACCCAAGTTGCAGCACCCATTTGGTATTAGGCAGAGGGAAGAGACAACAGAGCAGCTGTGATGTAGGAACAAAAGCTCCCCAGGGGGAAGCGTTTTACATTATTTGTATATTTGTATCAATACATTGATTCATATAGAATTCACTTTTTCATTGTTGATTAATAGATGTGTCCTATTTGTTACTGTTCCAATAACCTCTCTTAACCTAGACTCAGTAAGTACTTATGTGTCACCCCCTCACACATCATGTTCTAGAATCCTGACCACAATCTGACAAGGTTGTTTTCATCATCCCCATTTTATAGTTGCAGAAACTGAGGCTCAGCCAGGTCAAGTAACCTTCTCCAGCTCAGGAGCTAGTATGTAGTAGAGACAAAAGTAAGAAGTTTTCAGTTTGAATCTTAAGTCAGCATTGTTTTTTCATAATATCACAGTTTCTTTCCATAACCAAGAAAATTCTTGGTTCAGATAAGGTTTAGAGTTTTAAAAACACAAAAATAAATAGGAAGGACTCTGTTTGAAAGCAGGTCAAGTGATGGTGGGGCCAGCAAATGGCAGTTCATGGGAAGCCATGAGGCCAAGTGGCTGAGTGCTAGGCCCTGGGGTTAGTTAGGCACATGTGGGCTGGAGGCCTGAGTGTGTCACTTCCTCGCAGCGTGACACTGTGCTCGTCACCTGTGCTCATGTGTAAGTCCCCCCTCGGGGATGAACGTAAGGCAAAATGAGACTGCGGCGGTCAAGCATTCTGCACCCTTCCTGATAAGGTAACAACAGCTTATTCTACTACAGAGACCAACACATTTCACAACATCCATTCCCTGGGCCAGAGTAACCAAATCTAGCCATTGATCGATTTGCCTGACACAGCTGATCCAGTTCGTAAAAACCTATTTCCCCTGGCTGTGGCCCCACGCTCTCAGCTTCCCCCTCCCCTGTCTATGCCCTCATGCCATGTGAACACTGATGAGGTATATCCTCTCCCAGTGTAACCAGACCATCAGGGCTTCACCCAGAAATGAGGCCAAGCCAGCCTGTCCAGGGGCAGCTCCTGTGGGATGTTACTGAGGCAACATTATCCCCCCTCTCACCTGTCACCAGTAAAGACTCAGTCCCTTGCATCTGGAAGGCTTTGGCAGTCACTGCTCTCAGTAAATCGTCAATACGCCTGAGGATGGAGAGGTCCTATAAAAACATGGAAGCCATCTGTGAATCCACTGGCAAGGCTTCTTTCCCCTCCCAAGTTCTTTTAAAATTTGAATTTGTTTACTCTCTTCCTGAGGGAAACCATGATGACATCCACTTTTTAGGTAACTTTTGTGGCAAGGCTAAATCGAGAGCTGGCTCTCAGCAGAGGGAGGACGCACACGGGTCAGTGTGCTATACGCTCGGGGTTTCTCCCACCATGCCGACTGACTGGGGACAGCCTTGGAGCTTGGGCAACATGGAGGCCCCACTACTACAAAGTTTCCAAAGTGTTCCTCCTGTCGCGACCTCGCTCCAGCCTCACAATGCTGAGGGAGGTAGGGCTGGTATGATTAAAACCACCGGACTCATTTACAGACCCAGATAAGGGATCTATCCAACAGAATTACCAAGGAGGATTATCACAGCCCTCCATTTGCCAATCCATCAAAGAGCTTGTTGCTTTTAGTGATTCAGGACTTAGACCACAGTCACATTGTTGAGCCTGTTTGGGTTTTTGGTTTTTCATAAAACTTAGGGTGTAGCTGCCCATGATGTAACACCATTAAGTCCAGAAAGACACAATGGGGATAGGTTACTGCCTTTCTCCAGAGCACTCAGTCACTCCCTATTTCCTCTCTACATTGCAGTGTCATCATGACAGGCTCCTACAACAACTTCTTCAGGATGTTCGACAGAAACACCAAGCGTGATGTCACCCTTGAGGCCTCGAGGGAAAACAGCAAACCCCGGGCTATTCTAAAACCGCGAAAAGTGTGCGTGGGGGGCAAGCGAAGAAAAGACGAGATCAGCGTTGACAGTCTGGACTTTAGCAAAAAGATCTTGCATACAGCTTGGCATCCTTCAGAAAATATTATAGCAGTGGCGGCTACAAATAACCTATATATATTCCAGGACAAGGTTAACTAGGAGGACAAGTTATTACTTAATAATCTCACATACTGAATACTAGTCAAACATGTTTTTAAATGTTTCTTTTGGTCTTCATTTGATGCATTGACATTAATTTCCCTATGCAGAAAACAATTGGAATAGAATTAAAAAGAGTCCAACTTTCCCAGATCCCCAGTTCTAAGAGACTTTTGTCAAACCCAATAGGTTCTGAGACACTTGTGTTTAGAATTGAGAGCTGCCAGCTAACACTAATTCTCCATAGTTGACTTGAATTTCTGATGCTTTTATTGCCCGGTTTTCTCTGGTGGGTCCAGTGTTTTGTTCCTAGGTGTCTGCTGAGATAAAATGAGGTTGTCTGTAGTATTTAAAGAGAAAAGAGATAAGTTTTTTTTTAATTAAGCAATTCCATTTGATTGAAAAAAAATCAACAAAAAAATAAACACCGTTTACTCTTAGAGACATTCTCCTTTTTTGTGTGTGAAAAATCACAAGGAGTCAGCATCCCCTGCCCCCACAGCACTTTTTATTAACAGTCTCATTTGAACCAGAGATTTATTTCATGAGGCCGCGAAGAGGACCCAGAATGAGAAGGGAGGGGACACATCACCACTGCTATACTCTTTTTCTTTGTAAGCGCCATAGAAACAGCCTGAGAATTTGGCTAGGAAACCCCATGAATGCTTCAGGGGACATAAAGAGAACACTTTCCACACAGTGCTTCTCAGAGTTAGCTTGGCAAGGCCATGTGGGGCCAGATTCCATCTGCTGCCTTGTTATGCCTGCTTTTTGTAATTTTAAAAGGCTCCGTATAATCCTCTACTTACATGTTGGTTGGCTTTTTCTCTTCAACCTTTTCCAGTTTATTTATTCCATTGACTTCTAAAGGCCAAGGTCTGGTTGTTTATTATCTGGCATTCTAAATGATGCAGCAGCACCACCCCTGGCTCCTGGAGAAAGGCTGGTCTGTTCCTTTTGGGTGTGTCTGCTACCCAACCCCCTCCCTCTTCCTGGGTTTGGTGACCAAGAGTCACAATCCATCCATCTCCACCGCAGCTAGAACAAAAATGGCCCGTAAAAAATGCTGATTTGTGAAGTCTAATCAAGTATTTCTAATCCACCTCAAGCTCACCATTTAGAAAAATGCACCAAAGGGCTCTCTTCCTACAAAAATGGAATATGGGAGAGTCAAGAATCTTCCACAGTACAGTGAAGTCTGCTTGAACCTATGCAGTCTGGTTCATCCTTCCCCCTCCATGTTTACCATTCAGACTTCTTTTAAGTTCCAGAAGGTTCTGCAGCGCACAGCTCTGGGAAAACTAAATGAATTCAGAGGCTTTATAAATTTGAAGGAGGAGGTGGGAGGTTCCCAGAAAGCTGGGTCTGAGCTTAGTATCTCAATACCTGTCTTGCTGACTCATTCCCCTTCTTATTCACGAATCTTCCATTTTGTGAGTTAACAAATGGCTTGAAATGAGCATTTTTATTTTAAAGAGAAAGTCTCTTTTGATTCACGTATTTATTACAAGTCCCAACTCCAAGTTTACGTTGCTTGGGGAGGCAGGAAAAAAATAGGAATCCTATTTCCATTCTAAGCTACTATCCCATTTAATAACAGCTTTTTGGCAAGGTAATAGCTATCTAGAACTTAAGAGAACACCACTTTGTAAGATGCATCCCAATTTCAGAAACATTAAAATATGAGAAGTACTTCTCAAAATTGAAGGATCATGTGGATAAAAGATGTGACTTTTTTCCTCAGTGTTTCTCCTCTTCCCTCAATGAAAGCCTCTCTTCAGGCATTGTCCATAAAGTGGCCCAGGTGGAAACTCTCTGGGCAGGATTCCTGGCCTGGCTGGGACAGTGTTCTTGGAGGAGACTTTAGAGAGGATCAGAAACTTCTCCAGCTGATAGAGAATTGTCTTATCAGGATAGATAGAAGGAACAATGAGTTATTCTCCAAAGTTTACTATCAGCTTCCTTATGGCCTTCTCTCTGCTCCTCTGAGACTCATCTCCTCTCTTTGTACCAGGTGGGGCTTGTGAGAGATCACTGTTGCTCAAACTTAGGCATCAACCAACCTCTGTGCTATTGCTCATTTAAGTCACCTTTTTTAAAAGTCACACTTAGCCTCCTCCAAAGAAATAATGATGAAATATCCATTTTAGTGTTTTTTAGACATTAAAATAATCACAAAGCAAGTAATAGAACAAATGTACCCAAGTACCACCTACAATCATCTTGTGAACCATGAGGAACATGTTCCAACTTTAGGACACGGAGTAACTGCTATCAGAGAATATTCGGAGGCATCAGTCCCGATGGACAATGCTTCTTCACTAACTACAGTCACCAGTGCTTCCCACAACCCATGACAGCTTTGGTCATGGTTTTGAGAGATTCACAGGCCCCCTGCAGGCTATCTGTGGATCTTCATGAAATCCCCCATGCTTAGTCCTACACCCTTGGCACATAGATCCAGAGAGTGGGAGGGATTTGCCAGAGATCTCAGAGTTAAGAGCACAGAGAAGCCACTCGAATAAAGAATGCATCAGGAAAAAAACATACAAGATTCCTGGACTGGAACAGGAGAGGAAGGCGCTAGAGACTAGACCTCAGGCAGCAATCACCACCACCATGTTTCAGCAATGACCTGCTCTGTGCCAGGTACTGAACTAGGTATTTTACAATCCCAATTTCCTTCTGCCCCCATGCTGGGGATCTTCAACATCCACCCAATCAATCCCTGTTCCAGCTGACACTAAAAGCTACCTGAAAGCTGACTTGCCACACTGTCAACAGTGTGTTGGGTTCTAAGAGCCCTGCCCTGCCTAATAGTGCAACGGCTGCTGCTTGGTATGAGCCATCACTTTGCACTGAAGGATGGCAGCTGACTGAGGAGGAGAGGGAGTTAGAGCTTCCCAAGGCTTTATTGAAATGATCCAAATAAAACAGAGTTCCTGACATTTAAAAAGCTGCACTTGGATAGAGATCCATGCTGTCTTATCTGGAGGTAGAAGAGGATTTTTGAAGTAACAAAGAAGAAACATGTAAATGAGCATCAAGTAGTGGGGTGCACACAGGTGAGTGGGCAGTAAGAACCCATTTGCTTCTTAAATCCTTAAAGTCTGGCTCCTGTCTTCACTCTACTGGACAGCTGTGGGGGGGGTGGGGAGGGCCTGTCGGTAAAGCATCTTTAAACTTCTCAGTGATCTCATAATTAACCATAGCAACACCTATTAACACAACCAGCATATGAAAGGCAGTCAGTTGGAACCAGGATGAAGCTAAAATTCTTTTAGCTCCATACCCAATGAAGTAAGTCATCCATCTCCAATGTATTTCTTTTCAACACTTCAGGACCCATTATCCTGAAAGTTGACCCTAAAATGGTCAATCACTGACAAGGGGGAGACCACAATTTCCCTTCCTTCAAACCAACTGGCTAAGGCTCCCCTCCTACCTATTCTCCCACGCCTACGGATTCATGCTTGTCTATTCACTCTGCTGACTGCCTGCAGGGCTCAAGAGAACCCTAGTAAGCCTAATAGCAAAGCTTTGGGGGTGACACTGTAGTCCACATCCTGAGTGAGCCCTCTTCCTAATCTGACTCCATTACGGACATGTGTAGATGAGGCAGGTGTAGGGGGTTTTTTTAATGTTTTTTATTTATTTTCAGAGAGAGCAAGCACACAAGTTGGGGAGGGGCAGAGAGAGAGAGAGAGAGAGAATGAATCCCAACCAGGCTCCACACTCTCAGCACAGAGCCTGACACAGGGCTCAAACTCACGAATTGTGAGATTGTGATCTGAGTTGGAATCAAGAGTCGTACACTTAAACTGACTGAGCCACTCAGGCACCCCAAGGCAGTGTGTTTTAAACAGTACACCCAAAGATACTGCAATCACCACTTCACCCCTAGGAAACATTCACACTGGCCCCTGAGTCACTAGGTATCTGTCAGAGGTTAACCCATCCCTTCCTCCCCTATTTCTAAGTCAAGCCTCAGGAACTGCTTTCCCTTGGAATGACTAGCCTGTCATAGAAAGAATGTGGAACTGGGAAATAGGAAATGTGGATCCCGCCCCTGTCTCCACTGCAAAGTAAATAAGAAACTTCTAGAAGTCACTTCACGTGTGCATCAGTCATGTCGTCAGCTGTGAAATAGTCACAAAACAATCTATCCTCACTCACAGAATTACTGTGAGAAGCACAAGAAATTTATTTACTTATAATTGCTTGGTAAGTTTAAAGCACCATAAAAATCATAACAGCAACAATTCTCACTATAAAGACATACTTGTAATTTCTCATTATCTCCCTTCTTTAAGCCCCTGAGATTAATGCCAGTATTATGTTCGTTTTGGAAATGAGGAAATAGACTCAAGTTGTCAACGTAGCCACGGGCATATAGCCAGTAAGAGACAGAACCAGGACTCCAACTCAAGATATCTCACTCTAAAGACAGAATTCTTGAAATACTGTTTAATACATGATAGTAGCTAACATTTAATGAGCCCTTCTTATTACGGGCCAGGTTGTGTTCAAAAATTTCACATCTATTAATTCATTTATGCCTGAAACTCTAGATGCTGGTACTATTATGGTTTCCATTTTACAGATAAGGAAATGGAGGCAGATTGTGTAACTTCACTAAGTTTACACAGTTCACAAGTGACAGAACCAGACATTTTGGTCAGCATTCTTATCCTCTATCTCATCTCACATTATATATACAGTTGGAAGTTACTGATTAGCAAACAAGTCCAATATTGACCCATAAGTTCATCGATATTAATCATAAAGTGAGTGCCTGGCATGTATCATGCAGCCAGGCCCCAACAAGGGGCTGGAGTCACAGAGATAAAGCCACTCGTCCCCACCCTCCAGGAGATGACAGCCATATAGGAGCATGTAATTAATTATTAATTAATAAGGAAACAGTTCATGAGGATGGATACGAAAACAACCTTTCAGACTACATGACCTCTAAGTAGAGTATTAAAGTGGTTCAGTCA